ACGTAAACGACGCTTCACCAATAACATTACAGCCATAACCTAACATACCATGAAAGCATCAGGCAGCCGCGCGGTTCCTCACCAACTACGGCGGGTGCCCGCCCAGCGCGGGTGGGGCCATCGCAATCGAGGGCGGCAGCGTGGTGGGCCAAGCAGCCGCTGCACCCCCGCTGAGCTAGCCGAAGTGGGGCGGCGCATTGGCGAAGGCCGCGGCCGCAGTCGGGACTGGCAGCGCCGCCGCGCGCCCGATCCCGCTGCCGCCAACTACCCATGCTGGCGAAGAGGCGGCAGCGGGCCAGCGCGACGCAGACGGTGGCGACGCTGGCGGCGGCGGCGACGGCGAAGACGCCGCCGCAGACGCCGCGGCGGCGGCAATGGCTGCCGTGGCCAAGGGCACGAATGGCAAGGCCAAGGCCAAGGGCAACGCCAACGCCAAGGGCGAGGCAAGGGCGCTGAGGCGCCCCGCCGCGGCGCCCTCTTCGGTGAACAAGAGGCCCGCCATGGCGACGGCGGCTTCGGTGAAAATGAAGCCCGCCGCGGCCTCGGCGAAGGAGAGCGCCGCGCCGAAGATGGTAATGGCCAAGGGCGGATGGTCATCCGCGGCGAGTGCAGCGGAAACCACGGACACTCCTACACCATGTGGGCGGGGCCGTCGGGCAAGCGCCGCCGCACGCGCAAGTCTGCGGTGGCCGCGGGGTTCGTCGGGTAGGCGATTCGGCGGCGGGTAGCAATTGCGGCGGGTAGCAGCTGGGGCGCATGAGCGGTTCGGCGGGCAGGAGTCCCGACCCGATCGTGCGCGCGTGACCAGCCTGCCGACTAGAGCCGAGCGCTTTATACTTAAGCTATGGTTTGGTGCGGCCCTTGAAATCGAACCTCCTGGCCAAACCCCGTCCACCACTCGCATTCCCCGCTGCAGCTGAAGCTTCAGCAGTATTGCCAATTGGGCTTCAACCAGTGCAGCTGCAGCTGCGAGGGCTCGAGATTCAGCTGCCCCGCCGTTCCAGCCGCTGGAGCTGCGCGCGTCGGTGCCCATGTCAGGGGCCCCTGGAGCTGCGCGCCCCAAGTACCCATTCGGGGCCATTCGCACGACGCACGGTGCGCTTAAAGGACCGCGTGTGTGCCAACCCGCGCGTTTGCCATTGCATCGGCAACTGCCGTTGGTGCGGCTGCCGCTGCAGCGGTAGCGCGCGCGTCGGTTGCCGCGATTGCCGGTGCAACGGCGCGCTGTTCCCATTTATGATCCTGCAGGACTTGGCGCGGGCCGCCACCGGCAGCAGATATGGCGGCCACGCAGACGATGATGGCAAGATGCGCGGCGTCGACGTCGCCAGTGGTTGCGCCGCACACCATTGGATGCCACGTGGCGAACCGCCCGCCGCCATCAGGGACAGGAGTGGCGCCTACATTGGCGGATGTGTGGGCCTCCATTGCCGCTGCCATTGGGCCTCCAGGGGCACCTCCGCCGCTGGCAGCGCCGCCAGCTGCTGGCGCCGCCAGCGCCGCTGCCAGCGCTGGCAGCGCCAATGCCAGCGCCGCTACCGACGACGACGCTGACGCCGCGGACGGCATCGCCACCGCAACCGCGATGGCGGGTGGGAAGATGACGCCCCGCCGCCGCCCCGCCGCCGCCGACGCCGAGGGTGCGCCGCCTGCCGTGAGGGAGCGCCCTGCCGCCGCGCTGAGGCGCCCCGCGGGCGCTCGCTGAGGACGCCGTCGTCGTCGTCATCGTCGGCGCCGCCGCCTGCGCTTATATATACGGATATGTGTGTTGATTCAGCTCTTGAGTATAAACCGTGCCCCCTGGAGCTGAAGACCCCCCCCCCCCCGCTTGAGCTGAAGCTCCCAACTCCGCCGATCACAGCCCCCGCTGGAGCTGAAGCTTCAGCGGCAATCACCCCCCACCATTGCATATGTATCTACGAGGGCTCAGACATTTGCGAGGGCTCCCTCACTGGAGCTGCGCCGCGGCCGCCGCCCGATGGCGCAGCCAAAGTGGATGGAGGTTGCGATGTCGCACGGGGCGGGCGATGTGGCGGTGATGAGGGAACTGGACTGGATCACGCGCCACCAGTACCCTCTTTGTTCTTGTCGTCTTGCTTAACGAACGCAACGCTGCATGCGCTTTGCGTTACCTGCTGCAGCAAAGGTCCATGGGCCTCAAGCGCGGAGAGTATTGGAGTGCACGCCGGGCGGCGGCGCGCTCGGCGATGTCTCCCGACGAGTTGCTCTACGGAGACGGCTGCACCAGGCGCTTTGTTCTACATGCTGCAGCATGTTTTATCGTTGGCCTGCTATAGCAGGTATTGTCAGCGTGGTTGCTGCCTGCCGCATCAGGTTCAGCAACCTGAGCCACGTGGCCACCCCGCTGCCCGGCGGCCGCATCGCCAAGGTGAAGACCCAGCAGCTGCTGACCAACTACTTCAGCGCCAAGGTGAAGGCCCAGCAGAAGGGGAAGGTGAAGGCACAGCAGAAACTGACGAAATACTTCAGCATGCGGCCGAAGGCGGGCCTCCCTGGAGCTGAAGCTGCACGCCTCCACCGCCGTCGACATCCCATTCCGCATCATCATCTCCCCCGCCGCTTCAGTGCCGCGCTCGATCACATCACCATCACCATTGCCCCCCCCTTTCCGCTCAGCCAGGCTGATGTGGGCTCGTTCCTCTACCTGCTCGGCAAGGCTCCGATCGAGCCGATCACGCCGACCAGGGCGGGCATCGACATCATGCCTCAAGTGGGCGCGCCTAGCGCAACCGCCGCGGGGGCGCGACGGCAGGATTGGGCTCGCCAGTGCGCGCGCCGCGCTCAGCACACGATTGTGAACGCCCTCAGCCCTTTCTGTCCCGCGGAGCTGTCGTTTCGCTACATGCAGGCACGGGAGCGTTGTTGCAAGCATAGCTGCGTCGTCTCAGTTGGCGATCCCGCCCCGCCCCGCCCGCGCCCGCCCGACCCCGCGCCGCAATGTTTCGGTGGCCTCCGCGCCTACCGCGCACCCCGCATGTCCACGGCTGGGCGGGACACATCAACGCCTCGGCCCTCCATTGGCGGCGCTTATTGGTGACCCGAGCGGCGTGGAACTACGAGGGCGCGCGCGCTGGAGCGCGGCGCCAGCCCGCGCTGTAGCGACTGGGCAGGGCGGGGGGCTGGGCCGCCACGTCGTCATTCAAATGTCAGCCGCGCCCACAGTTGAAGACCCTGTTCTATTGGATGACGGCCAACGTGGTCAACAAAAACATGGTCGCCCGCAGGTGGGCGGGACGTGCCAGCGCGGGCGGGATGTCGCGCGTCGTCCATGCCCAGGTGGTTGGACGGCACGTGGATCTTCAGGCTCGCGGGTATCGAGTACGACTACTACGCCCACTATGATGAGCCGATCTTCGAGGATCGGCATATGGGTAGATCACGGCAGCTGCCGCTGCGCGTGCCCTCGCTAGACGCCGCTGCAGCGGCGCGGCGGCCAAACCCGCCTTGCCTGCGAGTTGCTTGCCGACGGCCCGCAGGAGGTCCGCGTGATGGACCATGACGGGGGCTTGCTCATGCTGCCGTGAATGCCCGCCACGGTCGCATACTGTCGCATGTAAGGCGCGGGCGTTGACAATGGCGACGGCGGCGACGGCGGCAATGCACGAACGCTGTGCTGTAGCAACCGATGTGACCGAGCGCGGCTGCCGCCGTCGCTGCGCGCGAGCGCGCGGGCGCGCTGCAGCCGCCGCCGCATGGCGACGCCGACGGCGGCTGCAGCCGACACCGCATGATGACGTCGGCGGCGGCGGCGGCAACGAGCGCGGCTGCAGCCGCCGCTCGCGGCATTGAGCATTGGGCGATGGAACGATTCGCGACGGGGAGTGATGCCGATGCGCCCGCCGCCGTGCTGAGGGAGCCACGCTGGGGGCGCGCCCCCCGCCGCGCTCGCGCGCCGCCCGCGGCGCCGCCATCGGCATGGCGGCGCGGTTGCGCGCGCGCGCGCTGATGCGCCTGCGGGCGCGGCCCCCGCGGCCCGCGATCTGCGACGCCAGGCTGCGAATGATGGGTTGTGCAGGCTGCGTGCCTCCCTGCCGCTCTGCAGCCGAGCAGCGCTAGGCGCGCTCCTGGAGATAGCTGAGCGCGAGGAGCTGCCGAGCGGCAATCGCATCCGCCTGCGAGAGGCGCGAGACGAGTCGCGCGCTCACCGCACTGCCTACGTCCCGATCCACAAGGATATAAAGGTGCCCAGCAACGACCCGGATGGGCACTTTGACGTCGAGGTCCAACCGGCGCAGGCCATGCTTGACTACATGGTCAGCTCCTGCAGCTCCTTCGCCGCGCGCGTGGAGGACGCCTGGAACACGCGGCAGCCCGCGCCACCGGACCCGTGGACCATCGTCCTCTATTCGGACGAGATCATGCCTGGCAGCGCTCTTGCCCAGACCCTGCACAGGAAGTGCTGGGGCTGGTACTGGAGCATCCCCGAGCTCGGCCCAGCGACCTCGAGCAACGAGGACGCGACTCGGGCGACGCAATCTCCATTCTCTGGGCTGCAGCCAATCCGCCCTCACAACCTCCAAACTCCAAGCATCCAAACTTCGATACTCTGGGCCGCAGCCCATCCAGCGCCACGCGGCTTGCGCCCCCGTGTAGGACGCGTAGATAGATGGAGGTTGCCATCGCGCGGAGCTTGCTGGCCAGGAAAGCAGTGAGCGGTGTGTCGGGGCTGGCCAGCGCCATCGTCGGCCTGTTCGGCGGGGAGCACGACATGGAGCGCGCGGGCGTCACCGTCGGCCGCCCTGGGCGGCCGATGCACCTGTTTCTGCGGCCAGGAGATATACTGGCCGACGAGGGCAGCATCCATGCAATATATGGGTGCAAAGGGTTTGGTGGGCTGAAGCAATGCCTCATGCGCACTAATGTGTACGACGCAAAAAAGCGTCCGCGAGGTCCACCTTAAAGACCCGACAGGGACTGGCGTCCCTCGCACGTGTGCTGGTAGCACCAAGTTCGCCCCCGTCACCGTCTCCGTCCTGCAGGCCATCTTCAGGCAGCTGCGGGCGTTGTCCTTGGTGCCCAGAAGCAAGGGCAAGCTGGCGGACTTGGAGACCGACCTCGGTTGGGCCCTCGCCGCGGAGACGTGCATGTGGGACGTGATGCGCGTCATTTTCGCCAGCGGCGTCTTCGGCTTCCACGTGGGCCAGCTGATGCGCGTGGCGAAAGGCCACGGCATCACGTACAAGGTCCTGGGCGAGGCCGCGCAGACCTTCCAGTGGCCCGCCATCGGGCGCAAAGTGCTGAAGCCCTGCGATGGCAGGACGGCTGGCGCATTTGCGCCGAAGCGAGCCGAGAGCCATTGGGAGAACGTAAGCTTCAAGGCGACGGCGTCCGAGAGCCTCGCGCTGGCCCCCTGGCTCAAGTACTTCTTCCGCGCAGCGTCGTCGGCGCGCGGGGCGCCCGACTTGGCGGTGCGCGCGCGGTGATTCGGCCAGCCGGTCGACGTCATTAAGGCCGTCGTCGAGGCCCACCGCGTGCCAGTCGACGCGGCGGCGCTGCAGCGCGCAGTGGGGGCCTACCTGGGCGAGTTCGAGCGCTTGTGCGGCGAGGGCTCGATGACGCCGAAGTTCCATTATGCAATCGCTTCGCCCGCTCTCCCGCCCGCCCCGCCCCGCGTCGCCGAGCTGAAGCTCGGCGACGAGGAGGGCGAGGATGATGATGAGGATGATGATGGCGATGACGATGAGGATGATGAGTATGATGATGATGGGGATGATGACGACGGCGATGATGATGACGACGGCGACGATGACGATTGCGATTGATGATGACGACGACGATTACGATGATGATGCTGATGATGATGATGATGATGATGATGGCGTCGCGGCTGCAGCCGCTCCCCGCCCGCGCGCTCGCACGGCGCGCGGGCGCGGGCGCGGACCTCATGCGCATGCCCGCGCTGATCGCGAAGTTCGGGCCGCTGCCCACGTGCTCGCCCCTGGAGCGGAAGCACAAGACGGTGAAGAAATTCGCCAGCCACCTGTTCAGCAGCGCCGCTTCGGTCTGCGACAAGTGGGGCCGCAGCGCCTTGCGGGACGTCACGTCCGAGCGGATGCACGGCATCGCGGACGACGGGTTCGCCAAGGACGCGGGGCTCCTGCAGCCGAGCAAGCCCGCGTCCAGGCGACTTGTTTTTTTCCCCAAACAACGTGCTGAACGGGGTGCTGTTGTGATAGAAACTAACTCCGGCCGAGGGAACGCGGAGCAGAGACATCCTCACAAATGTTATGGTTTTGGCCGTTTCGCTTGAGACATCCTCACAACTCTCGTTTCTGAGTTTGCCGGGATTGGCTGTTTCGCCTGAGACATCCTCGAAAGTTGCGCTCCGGGACGCCGCGCGAGAGGTGGTCCGGGCCGTTTCGCTTGAGACGTCCTCGAAACTCTGAGCCCCGAGGTGCCGTGCGAGAAGTGGTCCGGGCCGTTTCGCCTGAGACATCCTCGAAACTCTGAGCTCTGCGATGCCTTGCGCGAGGTGGTCCGGCCCGTTTCGCCTGAGACATCCTCGAAACTCTGACTTCGGAGATGCCGCGCGAGAGGTGATCCGGCCCGTTTCGCCTGAGACATCCTCGAAGTTCTGAACTCTGAGATGCCCTGCGCGAGGTAGTCCGGCCCGTCTCGCCTGAGACATCCTTGCAACTCTAAGCTCTGAGATGCCGCGCGCAAGGTGGTCTGGCCTGTTTCGCACAAGACATTCTCGCAACTCTGAAGTCTCAGATGCTGCGCGAGAGGTGGTCCAGCCTGGGCGCCCAGAAGACCACATGTTACATATCCTCCATGGGGCCCCGCGAGCCTCAGGAGGCCCCAGAGAGGTCCAGGAGGCCGCAGGACGCCCAGGACAAGCCCCAGGGGCCCCCAGGAGATTCCCAGGAGGCCCCCAGGAGGCCCCAGGAGGCCCTCTATCAGAACGCGTCAAGTTAATTCACATCCGGTGTCGATTCGTTGAGTTTTCCTGCTCTTGTGCCCAGCCCCTCCATTTTGAAGGGCCCAATCGGCCACAGGTTAGATATCCATCCTGGGAGCCCCAAGCGGCTTCAGGAAACCTCAGGTTGAGTTCAGGAGGCCACAGGAAGCCCAGGAGGAAGCTCCAGGAGGTCCACAGGAGGCCCCAGGAGGCCGCAGGACGCCCAGGACAGGCCCCAGGGGTCTCCAGGAGATTCCCAGGAGGCTCCCAGGAGGCCCCAAGAGGCCGCCTGTCAGAACGTGTCAAATTAATACACATCCGGTGTCGATTCGTTGATTATACCCAGCCATCCTGTGGTGTTGGGTCCTCGTTTTGAAGAGACGTCGCCCCGCGTTCCCTCCTCCTTCCTCCTCCTCCCCTTCCCCCCCCCCCCTCCCACGCCAATTCTGGCACGCCCCTCACACGCTTCGTGGCCCCATAGGGAGCTCCACCGAAGGCCCCAGTGGCTGCGCCCGCATGCGGTTCCACCCCCATTCTGGCACACCCCTCACACGCTTCGTGGCCCCATAGGGAGCTCCACCGAAGGCCCCAGTGGCTGCGCCCGCATGCGGTTCCACCCCCCATTTTGGCACACCCCTCACACGTTTCGTGGCCCCATAGGGAGCTCCACCGAAGGCCCCAGTGGCTGCGCCCGCATGCAGT